ATTCTGGATTCCTTCTTTCTTTATGTATCGATCTATTATCAATAATTAAATAGATCATAGAAACAGTATTTGAATAGAAAAGTATTCTAAATAAATTACTTTCAAAAAATACCTATACCACTTTTTTCTTCTTTAGTGGTAAAATATTCAGCTTTAGTAGCCACTCACTAAAACACTCATGCCATTAATCATCAGCTTTAGGTTTTAATTCCTTTATTCGCAATTTATTAAAATAATCAACTATAGAAGTTTCTTTAAATTAATCACCTATTCTTGATTAACTTTTAACAAAATCTATATTTTTTTGTTGAATTAATAATTAATAGGTTAAAGTTAATAAAAAGGATTTCACTTGTATTTATTATATATGATAAATTGATAAAACATAAATGATTATTAATATACTGATGGTCATACGTTAATACATTTAAAAAGTGCTATCTAAAAAATTAAAAGAGTCCTGCAGAATTAAAAAGCTATTTGACTGTTAGAAGTTATTAATTAATTTATGCATTTTTAGCTAAGCGGTTTTAAAAGAATGTTTGGAATAAATTATCAAATGAGTTGAATTTGAAAAAATTTTTGATAATCATAAATTACAAGTTTATAATCACTTTATGAGATGATGACGGTCGATGATCTAAATTAAAAGTTTCTTCAATATATCTTTTAGTGCTCCTTTTGAACTTGTAATTCTGTTCTTACTTCCTGTCTGTATGTGATCTTCAATTATCTCTTAAAACACCTCTTAATAAATTATATATTCTGGGTATCCAAGGAAAGTAATCAATACAAGAATGATGTATTTTCTAAATCATTAGATGTAATAAATTGAAATATATCTCAAGTTTTCTTTTACTAGAATTGATGCTTATCTTGATTAACTTTCTGTTGATTCTTATCCAACTGTAATTCACAACACTCCTACTTTTACTCCACCAGTTGCTTAAATATCTTTACCATCTATACAAAAATTAATTAATTAACTTATTCAACAACTCAAACCTATAATCAACTTAACTAATCATTAATAAATTCAATCCAATTAATAATAACATTCGATTATTAATAATCATCATTAATTAAATCTAAAATCATTCACTTATCAATTATTATAAAATCATTCAATTTAATAATCTGAATATTGTTATGCAATTGCAATTAATAAAGATAATTCAATTGTATTAGCTGGATGTAAGGATAAGATCAAAAGTATTTGTATTCAAATAAGAATAAATTGAAATAAATTCAAATTCTAAGTGAACATAGTGATTATGTTAGAACTTTAAATTTTATGAAGAAATAGAATCAATTTATTTCTGCTGGTAATGGTGGATAGATTATTATGGGGTCTATGAATGAAAATAGTTAATGGATATGTACATAGAAATTAAAAGAACATTCTAAATATATTAATTGTTTAGTAATGAATAATAATGAAGATCTATTCATATCAGGAAGTAATGATTCTACAATTAAATTCTGGTTAAAGTAGAATTAATGGGTATGTTCATAAACTATTACAGATCATTCACATTATGTTTGTGGATTAAGTTTGAATGAATAATAGAATAGACTCATATCTTGTGGAAGGGATAAATTAATATTAATAATAGAACGATCATCATAGGATTAAAAATGGAATGTAAAATAAAAGATATCAGTCTAAATATTTGGTTATCGATTATGTTTTATAAATGATAATTTATTCACATTTTAACCTAATGCTTAAGAGAAGATGCATGTTTATGAAATGAATAGCAGTAATCATTAATTCTAAAAGACAAAAGAAATTCATGTTAAAAGTGATCATTCTAGTTGTTATTATTGGTTTCCTTAATAATATATAAAGTAGAAATGTCTGCTTGCGAATAAGAATGATTACAATGTTAATTTAATAAGGAACAACCAAAATGCTGATATTATAACTCAATCATCTATTGAACAATGAATATTATTAAAATTGATTAGTAACATTCTCAAAATCTTAAATCTTATTATAAACTAATTACTATTAATAAATCAACATCAATTTATTTCTAATTATAAATTTATTAGATATATCACTATAATTCTTTTTCTTGTTGCTTTTTATTTGGAGATTTATAATTTAAACAACATTTATATATTTGTAATATTGATTATTAATTGGTTACTGTACCTATTTCATTAAATTTGTTTCACATATAGACTAAAATAATTGTATTGTTAAATATTTTACAAAAAACTAATTTTAATTTCATAAAATCTAATCGAAGTAAATTCAAATAGGGCAGACCTAATGGGCGGAAAAATAGATAGAAGACTACACCAGAAATTAATATTTCACAACATAGACCAAGACTATACCTTACCTGAATTGTTCGAGCCAGATTTTTAATCTCTGAAAACCTATTTAGTTGATAAGGGAGTTTTATGCAAAGTGCCCATTCTCTATGTGTATTTGAAAAAATGAATCATAAAACAGTCCAGATAGAGATTTTAAAGCATAATGCCCTTTAATTAGTTGGGGGATAGTTTGATAGTCAGAATGAGATTAGAGGAGCTATAAGGGATACTGGTATTTGTCAACCACCCGATTGAAGTTGACTGCAAAATGGAAGTTTGTAAAAGGAGGTTTTTCTGGATATTCAAGAAAAATTAATAATTGCTTACCCTTTTTTGCAAGTTGACAATTTATTTAATTTGAAAAATATAATTTATATTAAATTAAACCTAAATGATTATTATTAAATTCAAAATAAACTATCAGCAATTACAGTGATGAATTCTATTAGATATTAGGTTGAGACATCTGAAATAGAGTAAAGAACAAAGTTTGAATATATCAAATATACTACCCTGTTTTTTCAGGAATGCTATCCCAATATATGTATATATATCTTTGCTTTGATGTATGCATTAGGAATATACATATAACCTTCCAATAGTACTCTGATTAATTCCAACTGTCCTTAAGATATGAAAAGAAAAATTTTTTAAATATTTTTTCTCCCTTTATTCTTTGGTGTATTTATGAGGGATGTTTAATTCATCTTCATTTTTTGACTTCTGCCTTTTCTACCTCCAGCAAGACAATAATCCTCTAAACATGAGGCCCACTTCCGATTCCCCTTTCTTAGGTCTCGATCCTCCTATGTATAATTTTTGTTAAATCGGATCCTCTATATTACCCTTTTCCGAAAATGTCCTGATTATACACTCAGCTATAAGGGAGTCATCTTAGATGTCTAAAAAGGTAATGTCGAATGCTAATTGCCTTTATAGAAACTTGCTCTCTTTCTCCATAAATGTATCTTTTTTAAAACAAATTATTCTCTGATCCAAATTTATTTTCTGCTCAGGAACTCATCAAATTTATGAATTACTACTGTGCATTTAATATACTTATTTAGGTTTATATCACTCACGAAGTATTGATGGTGATAAAGTTTGACTATGCATTATGGTTTTTTTTTAACAATTTATTCAATCTTTATTTGAAAAAAGATTTATAAATATTCTACTATCGCATGCTCTTAAAAATCTCATCTAAATTCTTAACTTCATCCTCTCCATCATATTTTCCTAGGAATAGCATCCTTATTATTTTTTTTTTATTCCTTCACTTTTTTTCTGAATTTATAGTATTCGCACAAGACTCTGGACTCATTGAAACCAGGAGGAAACAACAATTAGAATATTGAAGTTTGCTCTTTACACGAACTCTAGCAATCTCAAAATCAGTTAACAATCAAGAATTCTTATTTATCGATTTTTAACTTCTCTTTCCAAATGTTAAAATTGCCCTTAAACATATTTCCTAAACAACAAAATACTTAAATTTTACTATTTATCTAAATTATTTTTAAGAAATAAGTTGCCAAATTCTTGATGCATTTTTATATGATTATATATACTATTTATAAGCCAGATACCAGAATTAAATTTTCAAAAATAATCCAAGCAAGTTTAAATCTAATTTTAACTATTCTTTTAATTTAATTTCTATGATGAAAACAAGATTGATAATTTATCTAAAAAGTCTTCAATTTATTGAATAATTTTAAAACTAATATTATTTTTTGTAATTTNCAAGTTGACAATTTATTTAATTTGAAAAATATAATTTATATTAAATTAAACCTAAATGATTATTATTAAATTCAAAATAAACTATCAGCAATTACAGTGATGAATTCTATTAGATATTAGGTTGAGACATCTGAAATAGAGTAAAGAACAAAGTTTGAATATATCAAATATACTACCCTGTTTTTTCAGGAATGCTATCCCAATATATGTATATATATCTTTGCTTTGATGTATGCATTAGGAATATACATATAACCTTCCAATAGTACTCTGATTAATTCCAACTGTCCTTAAGATATGAAAAGAAAAATTTTTTAAATATTTTTTCTCCCTTTATTCTTTGGTGTATTTATGAGGGATGTTTAATTCATCTTCATTTTTTGACTTCTGCCTTTTCTACCTCCAGCAAGACAATAATCCTCTAAACATGAGGCCCACTTCCGATTCCCCTTTCTTAGGTCTCGATCCTCCTATGTATAATTTTTGTTAAATCGGATCCTCTATATTACCCTTTTCCGAAAATGTCCTGATTATACACTCAGCTATAAGGGAGTCATCTTAGATGTCTAAAAAGGTAATGTCGAATGCTAATTGCCTTTATAGAAACTTGCTCTCTTTCTCCATAAATGTATCTTTTTTAAAACAAATTATTCTCTGATCCAAATTTATTTTCTGCTCAGGAACTCATCAAATTTATGAATTACTACTGTGCATTTAATATACTTATTTAGGTTTATATCACTCACGAAGTATTGATGGTGATAAAGTTTGACTATGCATTATGGTTTTTTTTTAACAATTTATTCAATCTTTATTTGAAAAAAGATTTATAAATATTCTACTATCGCATGCTCTTAAAAATCTCATCTAAATTCTTAACTTCATCCTCTCCATCATATTTTCCTAGGAATAGCATCCTTATTATTTTTTTTTTATTCCTTCACTTTTTTTCTGAATTTATAGTATTCGCACAAGACTCTGGACTCATTGAAACCAGGAGGAAACAACAATTAGAATATTGAAGTTTGCTCTTTACACGAACTCTAGCAATCTCAAAATCAGTTAACAATCAAGAATTCTTATTTATCGATTTTTAACTTCTCTTTCCAAATGTTAAAATTGCCCTTAAACATATTTCCTAAACAACAAAATACTTAAATTTTACTATTTATCTAAATTATTTTTAAGAAATAAGTTGCCAAATTCTTGATGCATTTTTATATGATTATATATACTATTTATAAGCCAGATACCAGAATTAAATTTTCAAAAATAATCCAAGCAAGTTTAAATCTAATTTTAACTATTCTTTTAATTTAATTTCTATGATGAAAACAAGATTGATAATTTATCTAAAAAGTCTTCAATTTATTGAATAATTTTAAAACTAATATTATTTTTTGTAATTTTAAATGCTAGAACCTAAAAACTAGAAAAGAGTTTAACAAGATTAATAACCTCCTAATTTGTAATATTAGATTATTTATTGGCATATCATTAGAGTTTGTTATTTAAATTTTGTAGAAATTAAATGCAACATACTCCGATAATTATCACTTTTCAATACTTAAGGAAAAGCTTTGTTAAATAACAAATAGAATTAATTTAATAGCATGAGTCACTCATTAGATTGCTGATTGAAGATGTTGTAAGGCTAGAAAAAAATTAACTTAATCTAAATAAAGTTAAATTCAATGATTTACTTTCAATTTTGAAAGATTGGATCGCAGACCTTTTGATTCTGTAACATCTTACAGTTTCTTCAAATAATTAGATAAATTACTTCTTTTTTAGTTCTTAATCAAGAGTCATTGATAAAAATAATGAATATTCACTCCTATTTCCAAGTCGAAACTAGAGACTTATAAGAATTCATTTAAACTAATATATATTTTAATATTAATAAAATTTAATTGCCATATAGAGAGTTGCAACCTTACTTTATAATTGCGTGACAGAAATTAATTTTTATTATTAAATTGTTTAATCAATTAAAAGGATGAAGGAGAAGGAACAGCGCTACGTTATCGAGGATATTATATGTCCTTTTGGTATTTTCTATCGATATAAAAAATAATTTTATATCATAAAGGATAATAGCGAAGTCAAATATTTAACAGAAGAGGGATAAATTCTTCGAATGTAATTAGGCAGCCATATAAAATTAGTGATATAACATCTACGAATTAACAGGCGGAAGTTTTGAAGAAATGGGAATAAATTGTTAAACTTTATTGGAAAGGGCAGCATGATACAAATAGAGTAAAAGTTGGAAAATGGACGGCAACCTGGCAAGGAGAAATTATAAAAGATGTTGGTGGCACTTACAATAATTTTGGGGAAAAATAAGGTTAATGGAAGGATTTAATAACAAATTATTGGAGGTAGTAATAAAGGAATAATAAATAGTTTAGCTCAAGTATATGAAGTAGGGAAATACTAGAAGGGCTTAAGATAGGGAAAATGGATGTTCCTATATAAAGATTAAGAAATGTGTTAATATATATTTTATAATTATATAGCGGGTGTGGAGTGTATAATTTATAAGGTGAAAAAAATGGAAAGTGGCTGGAATTGAGCAATGCATTTTGTGAGAATTCCAAAGTATCATATATTGGTGAATATTATAATGGTAAAAAAATTGGTAGATGGGACATTTACTTTAAATATTAAGGGAAGAATAACAAAATGTATTTATTGTTAATTAATTCTATATAAAAATTTTACAAATCTTAGTGGAGGTGGGGAATATGATTAAGCACGAAAACAACGTAAAATTGGGTAATGGATTGATATTAGTGATGGGTTTTTTGAAGATTCTTAAATAACTTTTCATGGTGACTATAAAAATGGAAAAAAGTTTGGGAAATGGGATATTATGTTTACTTGGAATGGATAGAATAAGATGTAAGAATATTTATATATTTAAATACAATTTTAAATTATAGTGGTGGTGGATTATATGATTAACATGGTGAAGGACTTAAAATTGGAAAATGGATAGACATTTATGATCAATATTAATAAAATCGATAGATAACTTACAATGGAGAATATAAAAATGGCAAAAAAGTTAGTAGATGGGATATATGGTTTAACTATATAGGGAAAAGCAATAAGATGTATATATATATTATTCATTCATGTAAAATTCTAAAACATTAGGGGTGGAGGTTCATACGATGAATAAGGTTAAGAACTTAAAGTTGGATCATGGCTTGAATTGAGTGATGGATTTTGTGATTCTTCACAAGTTACTTATAATGGTGAATATGAAATTGGTAAAAAAGTTGGTAGATGGGAAGCTTGGTTTAACAAAGAGGGGAAAAATATTAAGATGTAATTGTTTTCTTAATAATAATAAATAAATAAAATTCAGTGGTTGTGGCTCATATGATGAAGGTGGTGAAGGTTTTAAAAATGGTTAATGGATTGACGTTCATGATCAATATCTAGACTGTCGACAAGTAGCCTACTATGGGGAATATAGATTTGGAAAGAAAGTTGGTAGATGGGAAATTAGATTTGAAGATAATGAGATGTAATTATTTTTATTTATTTATTAATTTTATAGCGGAGGAGGATGGTTTGATTAAGCTGGAGAAGGACTTAAAAATGGATAATGGATTGATATTAGTGATGGATTTTACTAAGAATCTTAAGTAACATTTCATGGGGAATATTAAAACGGCAAAAAAATTGGGAGATGGGATATTTGGTATAACAAAGAAGGATAAAATATCAAAATGTATTAAATTTCTATAATAAAAAAATACTGTTAAAATTTAGTGGTGGCGGTTCATATGATGAAGAAGGATTAGGAGTTAAAATTGGATAATGGATTGAGATAAGCGATTAGTTTGATGATTATTATGAAGTAACTTAGAAGGGCAAATATTAAAATGGTATAAAAGTCGGTAACTGGTTGGAAAACTTTCGAGGATTTAACAAAATTAAAGAAATTTAATATGATAATTGAGTCATATTTATAACATTATATCATTTCTATTCATTCTTCTATCAAATGAGATTGTAAATAGAATAATCAAATAATCCAAAAAGTTTGGTGATGATTTTTTCACCTATATCTAGAACATAATGGTGTTAGAAGCCAAATTTAGCTAGGTTTCTGCAACTTTAAATTAAAATTTTAATTGGCGCTTAAGTTGTTTCATAGAATAAAATAAGCTTAATTTACATCATCACTGAGCAATGTGTTAAAATAAATTCTAAAGAAAAATATAAAGAAAATTTCCCTATTACCTTAACTATGAGCCTTAATTCTATGATTTGTTAATTAGGGTAAAGGTAAAAATGTAAATTAATTTCGTTTAAGAATTAAAAGTATTAGTATTTGAAATTTTAAATATATACCCAATATGTGGGGAGTTTTGTATAGAGAAAATTTATGTTCAAAAAAGAATTTTTTTTAGAAGGATGGTTTCTTAAAGTAAGGCTAGTGAAATGTAATTAAAGCCCTAAACAATTTAGGTTTTGAAGTTTTATTTTTTTGTGTTACTCCTACATTTGACGTTTATTTAAAATAATTCCAATTCAAATATCAAATGCTTCTACTAAAAATTTTGTATAATAGAATGTTGAGTTACTTTTTATTGTAGTTTCCAGGAACCTCCAATACTTTTGATCAACTCAAGATAAACAGTAGTGTTATTCAAAATTACACCTTTAATATTTTTAAAATATTTAATAATATTTTAGTATCTCACATAATATTTCAATGCTATTGGAAAGTAATTAGGTGCATTCAGAAATTTTCGATGTCTACAGGATGGAGAAATCATTATATATATTATGCTATTTATTACGCAGGGGCATCTTTATATCAGAATGCATAGATATATCATTCTTTAGAGCTAATGTATTAATTTCAACAAAAGATCGTTGTCAAAATATTATTATCAACGAAATTCGTTTTTTGGATATTTTTGCAAAGGCTTTGCCACAGATTAAATGAGAATACAGAAAATTTGTATATAAAATTATAAGGATACTAAATTTACAGAAGTCAGAATTCTACTTAATTCAATGATTTTTCCAAATTAGGTATTCTTGAATAATGTATCGATTTACATCTAATTTTCCAAATTAAAGAATTAGCAATACAAATTAGCGAATTCAAACTGTTATTCCCATTTAAAAACTGCTTACACTATTCCATACTTTATCTAAAGGGTTAAGTTGGGGTGTATGGTAGTAAAAATAAAAAATGATACTGCATTCAATAATTTTTAGATTCTTTTTCTCATATGCTCTGGGCTGTTATCAAGTATTATTATGAATTTATTGTCTGAATATTGAGCTTTAAAAGCCTTAATCAATTCGAGAAGATGATGAACATAAAGACTCGAGTTTATATTCCCTTTGACAACTTGATAAGCAACGAAATCCTCCTCTCATATTGCCCCTAAAATTCCTATGTTTCCTATTCTTTTTTCAACTATCATGAATTTCTATTTCTTTTTAATTGCAAGCATCTTGTCAACTTGCATTAATGGCCTTGTGAAATTTCATCAATAAAAACATTGTTTTTTAATGTTAACTAGCACTCAGAAATATTTAAAAATATGAAATTTTGGCCTGAAGTTTCTATTGATTGAAGTTTCTTTGTCCTTTCTTTAGAGTAACTTAAATTTTCAGTTGCAATGTCATTTTAAAAATTTTCGTAAATTGCTTTATACTTAAGGCAAACTTGTTTATTAAATCTTTTGGGCATAAATAATTATATCATTCTTGATCCAACAAATATGTAATTTTTGTAATTTAACGTATTTTCAAAGTAATGTATCTCTGAACGATTAGATTCAATATATCTTATTTGAGCAGGTCATTCCAACCGATGCAGTAATAAAATTGGGTTAATAATTTTATTTTCTTAATTTACATTTAGCCTCTTTGCTTAAAAATTTAGTTCTGACTGAATCCATTTTTCAATGAAAACTTTTTTCTTTTTCTCCATAATTGGTTATTATACAGCGTGATTCGCTTTTGTTTAAGGAATTAAATTTGATTCTAACATTCTTCTAAAGTTAGATCATTTAAGGTGACTTTGTCTTGATATAAAATTCTGGTTTTCATAAATTATGAAAAAGCTCTCATTTATATTTTGGACATATTATTTGTTGTTCTTCTTTGTAAAAATCATTTTAAAAGAAAAAAAATAATACAATATGTGTGTCTCATGAAACCAATTCTAAATTAGTATTAGTTTTATGTTTGAATTCTTTTTTTTGTTTTTACTTTAAAATTCAAAACCATTTTAGAAAAAATGAAAATGATTCAGCTGAAATCAGTCCATTTCTATAACATAATAAGAAAATGCACTGCACATTTAGAAGTATAAAATTTAAGAAATTGATTGTTAATTTAAAATTTATGATAGTAAAATATCAAAATTATAATATTTTCAAGTTTATTCTTATGATTCTCATATTAGTGTACAAACTAATGAATTATAAATTATATTATTATGATCATATCATCATTCACATTCCTCTAAAAATTTAACAATAATTTCAATTTGTTCCTATCCTATTTCAAATTATTTATAGATTTCTATCTATAGACTTTTTTGGGAATCCAACTCAATTTAATTAAGACCTTTAATTATTAAAAATACGAATGTGAATTTTTAATCCTCTAAAGCTATTTTTGTATTAAAGCCTAATTTGATTTGTCATTATACCGTTATGATAAATTTCTCATATTGAGGAAAAAAAAAAAATTCGTTCATACTCAATAATTATTACAATGTTTTAGTTGAAATATTAATAATAATTCATTTTTTACCTAATACATTCAATAATAAGATGTTGCATTAGAATTGGAAGTGGACATGATAGAATTTATAATAAGTCAATATTAATTGCCATCAACACAACATTAATTTAATTTAAAAATGAAAATTTAAATCTGTTGGCAATGGAACCACAATTTAAGAATGAATTAGATCAATCAGCATCATGGCAGAATTAAAATAATAAATGTGATTTATGAGAATACTTCTAATTAGGTCAACATAATTTCAAATTTTAGCCAAATCAAATAATGGTTCTCAGAAGACATATTTGTTCTTATTAGAATAAGTTTATTTAATTAGTAATTCGAAAACACCTATAATTTAATTATTATAATGTTTTTTCTTTTGAATCTAGTGATTTATCATTTAGAGAAAATGTGACATTTGAAATAAAAGTAATTACAAGTAGCCAATGCTAAATAACTTTACTTAGTAACTTTAAATAATACAATATAGTTAAACAAACAAACGAGTTAAATTAAAATAATATATTCAAACTTCATGATAGTATTTAAATTATGACATCATTTTTATTAACTTTTGAAATAAATTAATCTTCCTTTAGTTAAATATCAATTTTCCAGTTTTAGAATACCATAAACAATGGAATTACCACCGATTTGCGAGGAGAAAAAAATTCAAAAAAATTCAATGATATTCTTTTGAATGATTTGTTGTTCTTTCGTTAAGTTCTGGTTTCTTCCCATGTTTATGATGGGTATTAATATCATTAATATTAGTCACATTATTTTATTTGAAACAACTAGTTATTAATTTCCCAGCAAATTATTCCCAATATTTTTGATTTTCATCAATAGAAAACAACAGAGAACATCTGAATATATTTCTCTCAAGAATATTACATTATAAATTTAATTACTTCCAAATCAAAATCATTTGATGAAGCTTAAACCTCATCTAAATCCTATTTGTAATAAAATACTTTTTTCTATTAATTAAATCCTTAAAGTATGATTTATATAACTACTAAAAATACAATGAGATTTCCATTTTTATTTTTTAGCTTCTACTATTCAACCATACCCAAAATCTCTGGCCCAAATAATTCTTAAAATCCATAGTAAATTATACAATAAGGAGTTCCTCACAGAAATCCAAACATATTCTCGATTTTCTTAAATAACAAATATACTCACAATTTTAAAATTTTGATCAAATCGAAAATTTATAAGAATTATTTTAATTTTTCCAATTTAATTAATTTTAGATTGTTGTATTTTTTGATAACCAAATCTAGAAAAGCATTAATATTAGATTGACACTATTAATTTTTCTTAGTTCTTCAATATACAAAAAAATTTTTTAAGAGTATTTTTTAGTAAACCTCTTTTTATATAAAGGGTTATATAAAGAATATTAATTACGTTTGTAGTGATTGTTTAAAAGAATTAAAGCCTATACGATAAAAAGGAGGTTAGGCTAAATAAGTAGTTCTATATTAATCGACTAAGGAACAATGTTGTCAATCCTTTAAATAACCAAATTTTTAGGTTTTGATGATATTGAAAAAATATTCGCTTCCTAATTTTTACAAGACATAAAAATGCTCAATCTAAATTCTTAATAATTACGAAATTTTCATCTTGTTGTACTTCCTCAAATGTCACATTTTGTAGATTGATTATTTTAAAGTACAAATATGGATTTATGCTTGTATGTACTCCATCTTTAAATAATCTGAATATAATAATTAAGTGAAGTTTCAATACATTCAAAAAAACCTCCAATTATTACTGATACTGATATTGATAGTTTTCATTTCTGTGAAATTGTTATCAGTAAATCTCCGTTTGGCTACTACTTATGAAAAGAATCATCTAATTCATAAAAAATTTCAAAAAGACACCAAATTTTCTTGTGATGAGTTAGTAATTAACAATAATATATAGTTGATATATCAAAGCCTTCACATAATAAAAAAAAATAACAAAAAAAATTGAATGGTGTTCTAAATTAAAATTATTCCCTTCAAAATTGTATCTCATCTAAGGGAAATTGAATAGAATATTTTTAATTTTATTTTCATTAACGAAAACAGAGTTTCATCTATTGTTCATAAAATTCACTTTCATACATTTTCTTCAATTTGTGAACAATTATAGTAGTTTCATTTATCAAATGAATTCGAATAAATGGAAAAATTCTCTATTTGATCTGCGATTCTATTTACCTAAGTGAGTTGTAAATTTTCCCCTATCTTTCTGAATTGAATTTAATTGTCGACTTGATGAACACATTTTAGGACCTCTTTCTAAATTGAGAATTCCTTATGAATTGATGCATTATCTAAGATAAAGACACACATTATCAGTTTGCAATCTATATGTTTAAAGAAAATCAATATATATTTTTTAATTTCAAAGTTCCTCTTGAGTTTAAGTAATCACATATTCATTCAATCAAGCTTTATTACTTCAAAAGTAAATTAGTTATCAAAAGAGGAATAATCTGTAATTTTTTGTTTTGGCATTCCCAATATGGAAGATTAACTGTTTTGTTATGCTGGATTTATTGGTGGAACTTCATCTAAATAAACAAAATTGAATTGTCATAATGAGTGACTCAAATATTTATTGCATAATTAAATCTATGTAATATCATATCAAATTTCTAACTTCTTTTGTCCTTTTTATTTGGAATAGGAGGCATTTTTGTTAAATTAATATATGCAATTTCATACTAAAACTTATTATTGAATGAAATGTAATATTTTCATTTCTAAATTTGTTATTCTCTGAAATAAATTCGTCATTTTAAAGGACTCTAGATCAAAATTATTCAAGAGAAGATGAGCAAGCTTAAATGCAGAGCTGATTTCATCAGAAAAATATAATTAATATTGAATTTAATAAAAATTTTGATTTTCAAGTTAATATTTTGAAAGTATTAAGTCAACAAAATTCAACAATTTTATTACCTTAAATTTGACCAAAATTTTATACCTTTTGTGATTCCCCTCTTAAACTCTTAAATTTTAGATGCTGAAATAAAAGGGATAGGGATTAGGATTTAAAAATTGAATAAAAACTATCTTTAAATATTTAAATAGTTCATTCATCTTTAAGGAAATCTGTAGCCACCAACCCACTTTTTTCAAATTTTACTAAAGTCAAGTTTATTTATTCTGTCAAATTCTTATCATTCGGTTTGAATATAACAGGAGTATTTTAGGTAATCTTTTTATGTATCTAAACCATTGTTTTCTCAAATTTTCAAGGGCTAATTTATTTTTCCTATTTTTAAACTAAGCAGAAATAAAAATTAAAATTTAAGTGCGTTTAAATATAAGAAATAAAAAGTATTCTAGATTTGAAGTCCTTTTTTAAGAAAATAGGAAAGTAAATAATATTTCAATTTCAAGAAAAGATGAAAATCATTTAAATATGCAGAACCACATTGAAGTTGAACTTGTTAACACACGTGTGTTTATTTTTAAGAAATTGTGAACCATTTATTACACTTTAAAGTTGGCACTCTATTTAATTTGATGAATTTACTATTAGATTTTACTCAGTCGATGAATTTCTATCCCTAGATATGTGTATTATTTTACAATAGGAATATCAAGAATACTCATTTTATGAATTTAATATTATTGCTATTTTTCCAGATTTTTAATATTTACATTAGGATTTTACTCTTTAGATAATGTAACTAGTTTATAGATATGTAGATATTGTAACTGGTTTATAGATATGTAGATATTTGGGATTTTGGGGGAGCCCATTTTTATAATAATCTCTTTGGGGTTCAAAGGTTTATATAAAGGATTCTACTTTGGAGAACTTATAATTTCTTCTCATAATCCATTTTGATTTTAGCAATTGCCAATCACTTTATTTTCGATTGGCTATGGTTTTCTAAGTCCTCAATAATAATTTCAAAAACACATGTATATTTTAGTTCTACTTCAAAGTTGTTCTGCATATATCTATATATTCATCTTATTCTTCAAACTGAAAATTATTTACGTTTATCGTAACTGATTGTATTTGCAAACTTAATTTTTTCAAGCAATTTGACTTGAAAAAATCTCAAGGACTTCACAACTTTTGTAAAAGAGGTTGAAATTTAATTTTGAATAACTTGAAATATTTAAAAAGTGATTTAAATTTTAGGGATGTTTGTCGATTGATTCTCAAATGGCAATTAATGCTTTCTTTTCATTTTAGGCTTTTATCCTTACCTTCTCTTTTTTTTTTATTACTTTGTAAAAAAGTAAGAACAAATTCTGGCGATTATTCTTGTTATAGCGAATAGATAAAGCTTGCTTTTTGAAATAAGTGTAATTTGTTTATTGTTTCTATAGATCTATAACTCAAGTCATTATAACTTTCAAGATGCTCAATTTAGATCTAATATAGCCTAGATCAAAATCAATTTTGAATTGGGCTTCATCATTAATATCAGACAATAAAATATCCCAATTTTTTTCTCAAGATAATTCATTTATATTAGGATTTTTAAATTAATATGGTGAAAAAGAACTTATCCTTTTTCACTACCAATTATAAATAAATATATAGAATTCTGAAAAATTAATATTGATTTGAAATAAAAATCATACCTTGAAAAAGATGGCTTCTTATTCACAATATAAAGTGTTTTAGTCTAAATATATTTAGAATATGAAGCCATTCAAAATTAATTTTGATTTTGGCTAATAAAAGATTATAAAATATTTTCATAACAGTTATGCTATTAACCACCATAGGATCTGTTTATTCTGACTATAATGACATCATTTTTAAAGGGTTTAATCTCTAAGGATCAAGTTCTTCTATTACAACAGACTATTTTTTAAAGTAATGATCTATAGAATATTTCGAATTAAGCTCCAAGATGCGAAAATTAATCAGCCGATTTAAACACAAGCTCTAAAAACTACAGGAGATGTTATTAGAAATTGATGTTGCTAAGCTAAGGTGGTTTTGATCAACTTTATTTTCCAGATAAAATGTTTATGACATATGTATTATTTAATCTAATGCCAAATCATGGGTAATTTTTTTTTTCTAAATAACTTTGTTAAATAAATAAATTTAAGAACTAGAAGCTGTTGCAATTTAGGTGGAACCACAAAATTGAATTATTGTGTATATCTATATTATTCAATTGCTTACATAATTGGTTTTAATTTCCTAATAAGCGAATTGATGTAAATATCATAACCATAATGAGAAAAATACATGTCACTGGAGCTGATCGAAATATTAATTCATAATTTCTATTTATGACTTAAGTACTCAATGATTGAAATTATTTACTGTTTGCCCTTATCTGAAACTTTTAAGAGTATTTTATACGTTTAAAGGAACTTTTTGGTCATTTTTTACATTTTTTACAGTGAACTAATACTTTAGTTTTTAGTAGAATCTGAGCTATATTCATCTTATTATTTTTGTCTGAATATTTCTTCTGTGATAATATTTAAACATTTAAATCTTTAAGCTTGCTATTTCATATTTTATTTGTCCCACAGTGAAAATTATTGATTTCTTAAAGAGCTAAGGAACCATTACTTTAATCATCCATAAAGGTAGATTTTCTCTTTTAGCATGATATACAATAATAAATTTTTTTCTTTTTGACTTATTACATATGAGATTGTTTTATATCCTTCCTCTAGTAATTTCAGCTCTATTACACTTAATTTTCATTGCTAAGCGATAACAAAGCATTTATTATTTACTCTCTAAATTCTTTTCCTAAAATTCCTAATCATTATGATATAATCGTATATATATAGATTTGACTAGATCCTTATATATTCGTCTATCTCTCTTATTCATGCTCAATTTCTAATTTCAATTAATTTATTTCAATTGAGATTTTTCCCTCATTTCTTTACAACTTGAAATTGAATTGCTCAATCGTTAATTATAAAGTTTTAATATTCTCAACATTCCAATATGGTATAATATATAGGACTGTTTTAAGTATTTGATCATTTGATATTATTTTCTTAATGATGAAAATTCGCCATAGATTGAATTATTGTATTGAATTTAGAGGCAAATTATGCTAAAAATTAATTTTATATAATGATGATCACAATTTAATAATTTTTTCATAAAATCTATCCAATTTATATAATAGTTAATCTTAACACCCAATTAAAAACAAAGTCTAATAATTGTTTGATTAATAAATAAGTAAACTCTTCTTGAACGCCATTTTACTTTACTTATTTTGAATTATTCATCTTGCTTTCGCTTTTTGAGGTTTAAAGAAACAATTTAGAGAAATTATAAAGTGGATTTGAAGGAATAAGTCAATAAGTAATGTTTATTGTTATAAGTTTACCAAAATTTAAATCAATAAACCTTTTTGGATGTGAATAATGACTTAAAGATTAGGTTTATTATATTTTACTCCTTTATTTAGCAATGATAAAAACAAATAATAATTTGAATAAGCAATATCATTCTCTAGATTATTAATTGATTTCATCAACTTCGTCAAAAATTTTGAACACATTCAGCATTTACATATACTTTAAGCATTAAAACACTAGTAAATCTTCACTCTTTGCTCCCAAGATATTGATTCTCGTTATTACCTCTGATCAATCAATATAAAAAGTCTACCTTTGTTACACCAAGCTCTAGGTGCTATAAAATCTTTACTATCCCTGTTTACTCAATATAAATCAGAGCCAAGCTTATTTTTGTTATTAATTAATGTATTATATAATCAAAGCACGATGTGATTCATCAAACTAAAATATATAATCTATAATTCTAACTCAATCCAAAATGAATTTATCTCAGCTTAATTTCAGGCAATCCAGTTACAGCTGCTTTAGTAGTGATTGGAATTTGTTGTTCATCCAGTTTTCGGCTGATCTACTTCATAGAATAGGAGGTGTGTAATTAGATTTTGAAAGGCATTGGTTTTTGCTTGTTGGATTTTTTGAGTGATATTATTCTATTTTGGAGGAACAGAATTATATTACTTGATTGTGTGACAAAGAATGATTAATTACTGCTTTAAGTATATCTCAATCTGTATGTAATTTAATCTAAAGTATAATCTAGGCAATGACTAAAACAATTGTGGTATTTTTACAATATGCTCTATCAAAGATCCTCCTATTGAGGTTAAAACCTAAAGAACTTAAAGTAAAATCACATTCTATTTGCTGAACATTCATATAAACCAAAAGCCTGTTTATAAATTGCCGGTTAGAAATATAAAAAATTCAAGAATATATAT